TATCATCCTTTCTGCTGAAACACTTCCTTGCTGCCCACAGCTCTTAGGACTAAGTCCAAACTCTGTGCTGTGGCTGACAGGGCCTTGCGTGATCTGGCCCCTGCCAACCTCCCCAACTTCCCATTAGCTGCCCTCCCAATTTCCATCCTGGAGCCAAGCGGCCTGTGACCTTCCAGCACCCACCCTCCTCCCTACCCCAGGGCCTTTGCACATGCTATTTCTGCTCATAGGGACACTTTCTCCATACATCATCTTTCCTTTTTCTCTTAAAAAAATTTGTAAAATAGCCCACATATAGCAAAGTGTACAAAACATATATGTACAATTTAACAAACAGTTACAAAGCAAACACCCACATAACTGCATCAAGATGAAATCATCAGTTCCCCAGAAACCACTTTACCTGCTCCTTCCCTCTTAACCCTCTGGTCCTTGGTAGAAATGACTCCTCCTCAGGGAAATTATCCCTTCCCGCTTCCCACCCCCCATCTCGTTAGATCAGACACCCTTCCAGCCATGCATCACATCCCCTCAGATTCCAGGAGGTTTGCCCTGCAGGCACTCCCCTAGCATAATTCACTCACTGCTTTTGTAATTATTTGCCTGCTGTCTCCCCCAGCACCCTGTCTGTTCCCGGAGAGCTAGGGAACAGTTTGAGGCACAGAGCTGTGCATACACTTGGCGCCTGCTACGTGAATGAGCAACAACTGCTGGGCTACAAAGGCCCGGAAGGAGTCACAAGGGCAGCCATGGAGGGCTCATGCCTGCCTGCGGGGAGCTGACTGGGCAGCAGGGTGTCATTCCGGCCCCACCCCAGGGAATGGACCTGTGACAGCAGAAGCATGGGACTGCCCCGAGCGAGGGGCAGGTGGGGCCAGCGGCAGTCAGAAGCACATGTGGGCCCCTCAAGCACAGGTGCTCAGGGACCCTCTGGGAAGATGGGGGGAGGGCCAGCGGGGGGTGGTGGGACCCACGCACACACACTGTCTAGAACACTCCGCCCTCCTCATTCCCAGGAGCTCCGCCTCTTTCCTCCAGGGAAGCTCCCCCCGCACTGGGTCTGGTCCCTCCTCTGGGCTCCCACACCCCGAGGGCTTCCCTCACCCTGGCCCTGACCACTCTGGGCCGTCACTGGAGGTGGATCTGTCTCCAGCCCTGACTGTGAACACTGAGGGTGCTGTCTCTAAACAGATGCTGATGCTCAGGTTGTCAGGACAGTCAGGCTTGGAGTCTGCGACAGCCTCAGGGCTTCAGGGACAGTCAGGGCCTCAGCTGGACTTCCCAGGTGTCTCAGTGGTAAAGAATCTGCCTGCCAGTGTAGGAGACGTGGGTTCAATCCCTGGGTCGGAAAGACCCCCTGAAAAACGGAATGGCTAGCTACTCCAGTATTCCTGCCTGGAGAATCCCATGGACAGAAGAGCCTGGTGAGCTACATAGTCCATGGAGTTGCAGAGAGTTGGACACAACTTAGCATTTGAGCACGCACTCAGGGTCTCAGTCAGGGATAGAATCAGGGCCTTGGTTAGGGACAGCTTCAGGCTATTAGTGACAAGGTCAAGCTTTAGTTAGGGACAGCTTGGGACATTAGTTAGAAATAGCTCAGGTCCTTAGTGAGTGACAGCATCAGGGCCTCAGCTAGAGACACCGACACGACCTTAGTTAGGGACAGTGACTGGGCCCCCATTGTACAGATGAGGAAACTGAGGCCCAGAGAGGTTCAGCCATTTGTCCAAGGCCACATAGCCAACAGAAGGAAGAGGCAGGGCTCAAACCCCCAGTGGGCTGACTCTGGAGTCCACACTCTCATCGACTGTGAGTACATTTGTTTTTTTAAATCAATTCATTTAATTTTCCTTAACTTGTCCAAGGCAGTATCTGTAAAATCAGGGGATAAGTTGATAACACTTTTCCTAATACCCATTTTAAATAAAACATTTTCCTCCTCGCACCACCCAAATTACCTTGAGCACCCCATTTTGGGAAAGGCTCTTCCACACTAAAGCCTGGTTGCCTAGGAGAAAACTTCAGGAAGCAGCTTTAATGAGTAGATAAGAATGATTTGCAATTAGCATCAATTGTCTGCATGCAAATTAAAGCTCCCAACCACAGGGCCCTCTTTTGAAGTGGTGCCTCTCCCATTTTACTCCCTTCATTTCTGGGTTCAGCAAATCCTTCTCTCAGACACAGGGTAATTTTATACCCACTCCTCCTGCCTCAGCCACGGTCTACTCCCCAGCACCAGTGCTTTTATAGCACACATTCCAAAACCCTTCAGCTACTCAGCTTTACTACTATAGGCCTGTGCCCAGCAGGGGAGACCTGGGCACCCCATGGCAGCGAGTCCTTCTTGGTGGGTGCCCTCAGACATGTCTCAGTGATGACCTGATTCTAGTCTGTCTCCCTCAGTGGATGGTGGGTGAGGGGAGGGCTAGGCGTTTCATCTGCATTTACTTGTTCCTTCTCCTCAGCTCTCGCCTAGAACCTCGGAATAAACAAGTCCCTGAGAGATATTTGTGAATGAAATGAATGGTAGATAAATGAATGAAGGAGCTGTTCGAAAGAGCTCGTGAGTTCCAATGATTCAGGTCTATCTATCTAGGGACTTCCCTGGTAGTCCAGTGATTAAGATTCTGCCTTGCAATGCAGGAGATGTGGGTTCGACTCCTGGTCTGGGAACTAAGATCCCACATGTTGCAGAGCAACTAAGCCCATGTGCCACTACTACTGAGCCCATATGCCTCAACGGGGGAGCTCAAGCACTCACTCTGCAGCCCGAGGACCTCAGTGAAAGACACTGTGTGCTGCAACTAAGACCTGACAGTCAGTATATCAATAAATTAGGAAAAAAAAAAGAGATCTGTTTAGTGAGGCAGACTGTGACAGAGACTTAGGTCCCTGGGAGACCCTTCCTCTCCACACTCACCTTTCTCCTGGTTCCCGACTCCAGGAGGACTGGGGCCAGGGTGAGGGACAGCACTGACACGCAGGCATTCCCAAACACGGAGGTTTCCAATCTGTCAGTGTCAGTAGCCTCTTGGTCTTAAAATTTGGTTATACTTGAATCTCTAAGCTCCAGCACCCTCAGACTACTGTGTATTTTTCTTTCCAGCCAACGCCAGTCTCCCAAATACTGGCTTTTGAGTGATGAGCAGCAGAACCCGAGTTTGGTGAGAGGAGAGCCACTATGAGGTCATGCAATCCTTGAAGGAGGCAACGAGCAGCACAATCATTCTGAATGGACTAGACTGGACTAAAGGACTCTGCACCATCACACTAAGAACTTCGAGGGAGATTTTTGTTCTACCTTAAAAAAAATTTTTTTTAATGAAAACACATTTTCTTTTGTCCATGTCTTGTGGCCCGTGGGATCTAGTTCCCTGACCAGGGGTCCAACCCGTGCCCCTTGCATTTGAAGCCGTCTTAACCACTGGACCACCAGCGAAGCTCTGCTTCACCTTTAAAAAGACAGACACTTCTACACAGACCAAGACCCAGGGGCCACCGGGGGCTGTGGTCACGGAGGTCCGAGGCCACTGCCAGGCGTGTGCCCTGTGTGGAGAGAGGCGCAGGTCTGGGGACTGGCCAAGGTGTCAGGAAGCCAAGGGAGATGAAGATCCCTAATGCGGTCCTGGCCCCTGCTCAGGTGCGGTCAGGGAAGGGAAGGGAGGCGTCCACACTGTGGACCTGGGGAGGTGGACCCACACTTAGGGGTCCACACTGGGGGCTGCAGCACTGTACTCATTGCCCGGGGCCACAGACCTCAGATGACAGCAGAATGACTGTTACGGGAGGCACTTCTGGCTTCCATTGGATTCTCAAAGTGTATGCGGTGCTCAGGCTTCCCAGGTGGCGCTAGTTGGTAAAGAACCTGCCTGCCAATGCAGGAGACTTAAGAGCCAGGGGTTAGACCCCTGGGTTGGGAAGATCCCCTGGAGGAGGGCAGGGCAACCCACTCCAGTATTCTTGCCTGGAGCATCTCATGGACAGAGGAGCCTGGTGGGCTACAGCCCATGGGGTCGCAGAGAGGCAGACACGGCTGAAGCTACTGAGCACACACGCACGCCCATGCGGCGTAGACTCCAGGTTGTTGGTTAGTCAATGCCTTTCGTTTTCACTTGTTCCCGTCTGCCTCTCTACCAGTGGTTCTCAAAGCACGGTCTGGGGACCAACAGCATCAGCACCGACACAGAACCCTGTACAAATGCACATTCTCAGGCCCCGCCCAGTAGGTTAGGGGAATGGGTGTTGAACAGCCCTCCAGTGGAGACCATCTGGGGTCCACACTGCCCTTTACTATGGAGGCTCGAAGGCTAAGCCAAGATTCCCCAGACTTCTTGCAGCAAACATGGGCAGGTGACACTGTGTGTGGAAGGGGTTCTGGGAAAGCGTTCGCTTTTTCCACAGTCAGGGAGCAACAAGGATGCTGCCGTCTTCCCTCTGTTCTCTGCCCCCAGGCCTCCAGGGGCACCACGGCCATCTGGAGACCAGGAAGTCACAGCCAGTACGAGGACGACGACGGAGCAGGAAGACACAGGGTGCCAGGCCTCAAGGCCCTCCCTGAGCTGCTGCTGCACCAGCCCAGCTCTGCCCTCCCTGGACTTCCCAACGGGGAATTGTTAAATCTCTATTTGTTCAAGCCTCTGTGGGTCTGGTTTTCTATTACCTTCAGCCAAATGCACTCCTAATAGAAACAGTGTGTGACTCCCAGCAGGCATAAAAACTACTGGTCTTGGGGAAGAGAAAAAGGAAAGAGACTGAGGGTCAGAGTGGACCAGAGACAGACAGACAAGGATTTTCCTTCTTCCACTGAGATCCTTAAAGGCCAGTGGATGGGTAGCCGGGGATGGTCCATGGGATCCCAGATCTGTAAGCACACTAATGTGTGAGCACACCCACCTGTGAGCATATTTCTGGGGAGGGGAGCTCCACCATCAGGACCGTGGGGGATGTGGAAGGTGGTCAGGACCCCTGAAGAACCCAGGCGAGATTTGGAGCCTTACCTGGACTGCCTGGATGGGTCGCGGCTGCCCCCGGCCAGGCCGGTCGGGGTGCTGGAGCCTGAGGAGTACAGCTTCGGTCGGTAGCCCTTGTTCTGTCCAGTGATGCCTGGGGCGGGCGAGACCTCCCGCCGCCGGTCTGCATGGTGAGACCGCCCGGTGGCCTCGCGCCCACCCCCGCAGAGGCCCATGCTTCCCGGGGGCTTGTGCAGCTTGGCCGGTCGAGGTGTTTTGGCCAGGGACATGCAGCTGGGGCTGGAGGTGTAGAGGGTAGTGTCGATGCCACTGTCGCTAGAGCCACCCTTGGAGAGAGGGTCTTGCTCTGGTTCCAGGGGGTCCAGGGGGTCAAACCAACGGTCATCGCTGTGGCTGCTGGAAGCGTTGCTGGAGAGGGTATTGCTGCTGGAATGACTGGAGTACTGGGGCTCCCCCTGGAAGGCAGGAGAACTGTGTCATTATTCCTAGACCCCAGGCTGGGGAGGGGGTGGGTAGGGGGCAACCTACCCTCCCACTGGGGTTTGCCTTACATCTCAGTGTGAACCCTGGAACCAGACAGCTTTGATCTCTGGCTCTCTGACTTACTGACCTTGGTACCTCAGGCCACTGACTGAACTTCCCTGTGCCTCAGTTGCCACATTTGTGAAATGGGTTGATAACCCTGCTCCATGGGGTGGCTCAGAGGGATAAATGATACTGCCTACATAACGTGCTGCCAACATTAAGCTCAGCGTGTCTGGAACTGAGCTCCTGGCCCTCCCTCCTGAATTCACCTCTTCCTTGTCTCCTAAGGGCACCTCCATCCTTTCGGCTGTCCTTACCAAAGCGTTGTGGAGTCACTCTGGACCTTGCTTTTGCTCTCACACCTATATCTAGTCCAGCAGCAAATCTTGTTGCCCATGTCTTAAAAAATAGATCCAAACCTGCCAGCTTGCCTCCCTTCAAGACTCCACCCTGGTCCTGTCCGCTACTGCTTCCCACTGGACCATGGCAGCAGCCTCCTCCCGTCTTCCTACTCCTGTCTGTCTCCCCTCATCCCTGGCCCCCAGCCTGTGCTCTACACGCAGCCAGAGACAGGCTGTGAACACTCATGGCCATTCATGTCCGTGCCCTGCTCAGAACCCTCTTTCTCACTCGGGAAAAGCCAGAGTCCTCTCCATGGCCCCTGGGGCCCTGTATGATCTGGCTCCGGGTTCCAGTCTCTAACTTCACCTCCTCCTCCCTCTGGGTCACTCCGTCCCAGCCACACCAACCTCCTCGCTGTTCTGAGCACGCCATGTGCACGGTTCTTTCAGGGCCTTTGCACTTGCTGTTTCCTCTGTGTCAATGCACTGCCCTCAGGTGATTTTCACGGGCTGCCGGTTACTTCAAGGTTTTGTTTACAGGTCACCTCCTCAAAGGCCTTCTCTGACCACCTCATCCTAAAGCAGCTGTGCCTGACACTCTCTTTTCCCTTAACTGGACTTTTTCTTTTGCAGTAAGAATCAGTTCTCACCATTATATAATGAATCTGTTTCTCTGCTGACTGACTGTTGCCCACATTGGAATGTCAGCTTTGTGAGCACAGGGGCTCACCTGTCCTCTTCATCCCTGGGGTCCTAGTACCCGGACCACGGTACATGCTCATCACTCACTCACTGAATGAACGGATGTGAAGAGACCGCCAAGCTCTCAGTCTCCTCCTGGCCACACAGGACCACATCCCCCAGCTCCCCTTGCAGTGATGTGTGGCCACGTGACAGCATCCTGGCCAATATAACATTACAGGTGGACGTCATTTATGCCTTGTCTAGGTCTGAGTCAAAAAAGGTCCTTTCTCCCTTCTCCCTCACCTGCTAGAAAGAGGCAAGGACCCATTAGAGGGCTCTGGCACCCCAAGGAACCGTTACAAGAGGGAGTGAGCCTGGGTTCCTGAATCCTGCAAAAAGCTGCTACACTGAACACCCACACTGAATTGCTACATTAGAGGGGAATAAACTTATATTTTGTGAGGTCACTAGGACCTGGGGACTGTCTGTTACGGCAGTTTGTTGTTTAATCGCTCAGTCATGTCTGACTCTTGTGACCCCGTGGACTGTAGCCTGCCAGGCTCCCCTGTCCATGGGATTTTCCAGGTACGAATATTTGAGTGGGGAGCCATTTCCTCCTCCAGGGGATCTTCCCAACCCAAGGATCGAACTTGCGTCTCCTGCACTAGCAGGAGGATTCTTTACCCCTGAGTCGCCTGGGAGACAGTTAACCTGTTGCTAAAGATTGAACAGTCTGTGTCCCCCAACATGCGTACACTGAATTCTCATCTCCAGTGGGATGGTATTAGGAGGGAGGGCCTTTGGAAAGTGATTAGGTTATGAGGGTGGAGCCCTCATGAATGAGATTACAAACTCCTATATGTTTTCACATATTTATCCTATATATGTTTATATAGTCCTCATGAAGGAAGGGGGTTATAAAATCCATATATATGTGTATTATATCTGTATAAGGGAGACCACAGAGAGCTCCCTTCACACATGAGGTAAGGCGAAGGCTGTCCATGAACCAGGAAGGAGGTTCTGATTAGACACTGGACCTGCCTGTGCCTTAACCTTGGACTTTCCAGCCTCTGGAACTAGCAGAAATGAGTAACTGCTGTTTATCAGCCACCCAGTCTGTGGTGTTTTAGTTAGGGCAGCCTGAGCTGGTGAAGACATCAACCATGGCGGATGGAATGAGGAAATCAAGGCTTGAAGGAGTGAGTGATTTGCTCAAGATGACAATGGACGGTAGGGGCTGGAGCCAGGATGCACTACTGGCTGGATCTAATTCCAGACCAGGCATTTAGCCCCTCTGCTGGAGTGGGAGGGGGCGGAAGAGGAGCATGCCCAGGTGAAGCTGTGAAGCCGTCCAGCTGTCGGCAGCCAGAGCGGGTCAGGCAGCTGGCTCCCACAGCCCTGGCTCCCCAGGGTTGGCAGGCGGGGCTGGACTCACCTTGGAATGCCTGTTGGGGGAATCTTTGCCTGCTGCGTCCTGCCTGGAGGCGTGCTTGCTCCCGTTGCTTCCAGCCATGGCTGAGAGCCGGGCCTGGGCGGGCACATGCCACAAAGGCTCTGCAGTGCAACAGGAGACACACCAGTGGTTAGAGGTGACTCAGGCATTCACCTGAAGAATCTGGCGCTATATGTAGTTTCGATGGTTCCATTCCTCTGCCAGCTTGTCTACTCAGCTTGTGACCACGACACGGCCATGACCCCTATCCACTCAGGTCTTAAGGTCTAGCAACGCTCATGGACAGAGTATTTACTGAGCACTTATTAAGTGCCAGGCACCATGCTAGTGCTTTACATAGCTTGACTTGGTGAAGCCTTATTACAACAACCCTCAACCCTCAAAGGAGGTTGAATGCATTTTCGTCCTTCCTGGCAACCTGGATTTTCTATTTTATAAATTATTTGTCCATATCCTTTCTAAATTTTTCTATGGAAATGACCACTTTCTGCTGAGCAGGGTTCTTTTTTCTTTTTCTATTGGCCACATCACATGGCATATGGGATCTTAGTTCCCTGATCAGGGATCAGGGACGGGACTGCTCCCCCCACCCCCGCCCCCCACTGCAGTGGTGGTGCAGGCTTAACCACTGGACTTCCAGGGAGGTCCCTCAACAGGGTTCTTTACATATGCTAAGGTAGCATTCCTTTGTTGGTTAACCATGCACAACTTTTTTGGTTAAATGGAAGCAGAATCATAATAAGCATTGTCTGACAATTTAACTCTCACTTTACAGATAAATACACTGACACTTGCTTTTCGCTGTGTATCCTCATGACACATGTTCACATAACTGAACTGGAAGTTATCTTATTTTTAACAGCTGCAGAGTTTTCCATCACTGAATGGACATCAATTATTTAATCAGTTTCCTACTGATGGATATTCAGGTTATTTTCAATTTTTCTTCACATTTTGCTGGCCTTTTCTCTACATTCAACTTTGAACAAGTGTGGAATTGTGTCTGGGACAGAATTCTCCAAGTGAAATGGCTGGTTCAAAGGTGAAACAGGTTTAAAATCACGATGGCTGCTATGGGTGTAAATTAGTCTAAACTCCCAAGGCTGGTCAACGTGCCTGAATGGAGCATCAGATCTTAAAAAAACACACAGCCTCTGGGAAGAATGGATACATGTATATGGCTCTCTGCTGTCCACCTGAAACTATCACATCACTGTTCCTTTTTAAACAAATTATTGATTTTTGGCTGCGCTTCATTGCTGCACACAGGCTTTATCTAGCTGAAGTGAGCAGGGGCTACTCTCTAGTTGTGGTGCATCGGGTTCTCATTGCTGTGGCTTCTCTTACAGAGCACGGGCTCTAGAGTGTGGGCTTCAGCAGTTTTGCCACACGGCTTTAGTGACCTCTTGGCATGTGGGATCTTCACAGACCAGGGATCGAACCCGTGTCTCCTGCACTGGCAGGTGGATTCTTTACCACTGAGCCACCGGGGACATCCCTATCCCAACACTGTTAATTGGCAATACTCCAATATAAAATAAAAAGTTAAACACATGTACATACACACAATCTAAATGGAGGGCTAACTAATATCTATCAAACTTACAAACACACAATGCACTAACAGAGGACCCAAACCCCAGTGGTCTAACCCCAGAGCTCACACTTTTGATCAGTGCTGCAGTTAAAACACTCATAATGATGATTATCATTAAGCACATGTTCTGTGTCCAGTACTACTGTAAGCACTCTGCCTGCATTACCTTGCTATAAGCACCCAGTGATATTATGAGGTGGATATTAGTGCCAGTTTAATAGATGAAGGAGAACACCAAGACTCAGAAAGCTTAAATAACTGGTCCAAGGTCACACAGAGCTTCAGGCCTGCGCTTCCCCAGCGACGATCACGCCAGCAACAGTGCAGAGTAAGCACTCCGGAAGCTGGAGTAGTCGTCATTCTCTTAATGATGGGCTGGGCCCTGTGCTGGGGCTGGACAGGCGTGATCTCACGGGATCCCAAAACCACCTTGCAAGGAAAGACACTCAGGGTGTCCACTGCAGAAGAAGGACCTGAGGCTGGGAGAGATGAGGTCATCACAAGGTCATACAGCTGACTCAGAACTTCCCACCAGGCCCATCGGAGCCTGAGTTAACCACCGTACACACACCGCTGCCCCTGGTGCAACCTTAGGGGGCTCTGGGCCCATGTTCCTGTTGGGGAAGGTGGGCGTGGAGGGCCAGGCAGGGCACTCAGGGACACAGAGAGAGCAGCCTGACTGGACACAGTCGAGGGTGTCACTGCCCACTATGTCCACCTGCTTTGCTCTCCAGAGATGCTTTTCCTCCTTGGAAGCATCTGAGACGCCCAGGAAGCACTGGTCTGCTGGGAGGAGGGCTGAAAATGCCAGGAGACGACATTTCTGCAGAGAGCCAAGCCCGTGGCAGTCACACCCAGCTTCTCTACCACCTAGGACACCACGGCTCCCACATTTCTGTCTCTGGCAGGACATCTCCCCACAACTCCAGACTTGTACAAACAGCTGCCCACACACCTCCACGGAGTGTCTACCGGGCACTCCTTACTGGACATGGCCAAAGCCAGCTCATCTTCCCCTAAACCTCCATCTCTCGTCTCCTCTGTCCTTTTGGCTGCTCAGGTCAGAAACCAGTTATCATCCTTGAACCTCAAATCCTAACTTTACCTCCAAAGGACTGTATCCAGAACCTGCCCATCTCTCCCCCTCCACTGGCCCCGCCCCATGTGAATCTGTAGCAGAGGGACTCTGTGAACACCTGAGACTGATCCCAACCCCCTCTGCCCAGAAGAGCTGAGCCCCGTGGTTCTGAGTGAAGAACAAAGTCCCCACCCCGCTGTCCCCACCACCTCCCTGGCCTTGTCTCCCACCACTTCTCCAGGTCCTTGGCCTCTTTCCTGTCTCTCCAACACCACACCCCTTGCCACCCAGGGGTCTTTGCTCAGCAGTTCCCTTTCCCTGGAATGTTCTCCTCCCAGCTGTCACCCTCACACTCTTCTAGCCTCTCCTGAAAAGCTATCTGTTCAGAGACCTCCTCAGACCCCACAAATCACTATCCAGGCACTCTGCTTATTTCCAGTTAATACTCAGCTCACACTGTGGGTGAGGGACTACAGTGGTATCTGCAGCAGGCGTGGGTCAAGGAGGGGTTCTAGTGTAGAACCAGTAGGTCCTGGTCCAAATTTCAATGCAGCTACTCACCAGCCAGGACCTCGGACAAGAGACACCCTTTCGGGGCCTCACCTTCCTCGTTTCTAAAATGGGGTGGTCACCTCTGTTGTGTTCCTGAGATGATTAAAGAGGAGGGAGTGTGGAGCACCCGAAACTGCTGCTGCTGTTGCTGTGACCACAGTCATCTGACTGGGGCTGGGCACTCCCCCACGTCCATCCCCTCCGACGGATCCCCCCACCCCGTGGCCTGAATACACTCTGGACTTTATGGTGACTTCTGAGCACAGACCACCCTTATCTGTGAGAGTGCAGGGAAATGTCAGCTAACTTACAACAAAGTCTCAAAGCGGTGAGAAGGGAGTAGGGCTGTGGGGGACTGAAGACAGAAGGAAGGAGGGCCCATGGAGAGCTTCTGTGACCCCCTTATCTAGGGCCCACAGTGAATAGTGAATGCTGGGGAAGTTTCCTCCCCACTTACACCCTGGTGTAATGACATCTCCCAGCAACAGGTTTCTCTTTTTCTCACCTGGGTGGGGAGGAGGAAGCGAACCTGTCTGTGGGAGCAGAGATCACAGACCTGCGGGTGGGATCAAGCGTGCTGAGCAGAGGAGCGAGCCGTGTCTGCAGGCCCCGGAGGCAGCGGACATGGGGAGAGTGTGGTCAGGGAGGGGGCAACCTGCTTGGCTGAAGTCCAACTGTTGTCCCTGGTTTAACAGAACCATGGACTGCGGAAGCTCACGTGCTGAAGCTTGTGTGCCTAGAGCCTGGGCTCCGCAACCAGAGGAGCCACTGCAATGAGAAGCTTGTGCACTGCAATGAAGAGCAGCCCTCGCTCTCGACAACTAGAGAGAGACTAAAGAGCAATGAAGATCCAGTGCAGCCAAAACGGGAAGGGAGGAAGGAAGAAAGGAAGGAAGAAAATTTAAAAAGAAAAAGAGACACGCATACAGAGGGAGAGAACCATGGGGCGGAGGTGCTGAGGGATTCTCCAGGCTGCTCACCCTGGGGCAGCAACCCCTCCTTGCCCCACAGCACCTAGGGGGTAGCCAGTGATGTGCAGACATGGTCAACCCCCATGAGAACGGCCTGGATATTCTCAAACACCCACGCGTGGACATCTCCATCTCCTCCCCCTCCGAAGTAAGCACCCTCTGATTCTTCATTGATTTTCTTTCTTTTGAACCCACCTATCACCTGCTGATTCTCACAGTTCAAAGGGGCTAACAGCTTTGTTAGGAGACATCACGTTGAAGATATTCATCCAAGGAGTACATGCCATGATTAATACTTATACACAGGAGAGTAAACGGATGAGATGTTTAGTTTCACCAGGCATCAGAAAAATGCAAATGAAAAGCACAATGTGGCACCACTATGAGCCCACCAGGACGGCTGACATGAAGGCTGGTGAGGACCGGAGCCATAAGAACTCTCTCTGTCACTGGCGGGAGTGGGAAGTGGTGTGACAATCTCTTAGAAAGTTAAATGCATAACCCAGCAATTCCACTCCTGGATATATTCCCTGCAGAAACGTGTGCACATCTTCAGAAAAGGCAGGTACAAGGATATTCCTGGCCACACTGTTCTAAGCAACCCCAAACTGGTCCAACCCAAATGCCCTTCAAAGCTAGAGTGGAGTAAGACATTGTGGATCATTCAGACAGTGGATATACTATTTAGAACTGTGCTGCAAGTCATGTGGCAGGCCCTCACCAACACAGTACTGAGCAACAGAAGTCACACACATGTATACACACACACAGTGTGTTCAGTGGGAATCTATGTTCCACATGCATGAAGTTCAAAACCAGGCAAGACTAAACCTGGCCGTGAGAAACAGGACGCGGTGGCCTTTGGGGGTGCTGACTGGGAGGGGCTGGGGCCTACCAGGAGGCTGGCTGTGTCTCTCTCGCCCTGGGTGTGGAACAGGGGTGTGTTCACTTTGTGATTATATTATCACACTAGGTGCTCTGGGTTTGGGCTCGTGTCTCAGCATAACACTTGAGAAACAGCATCGGAGGCTTTCTGTAATAAGCAGTCTCAGGATACTGCCGGTTCTGCTCAGCCCCCCACCTCCAGAGGACCACCTTCAGGTGTCCCCTGGCAGTCCCCTCCTCCATGCTGCACATCTGTGCTCCAACCCCTGACTGACAGCAACGGCAGACCCCGCCTGCTGATGCCCTGTCTGGATGGACACAGATCCGGCTCACTGGGCCCTACCATTCTCCCAGGTGCCTTCTCTAACCTTACGTGGTGCACTTACAGCTTGCTTTTGTGTTTTATCCATCACTGACAGGGGGAGGGGCTTTACCCGTCACACTGTGAGTAACGGGTCAGCAAGGTGAGGCCACGGGCACGTCTGGCCCCGGGTGGGGGGGCCCCTACCTGGCTTCTGACGCTCCATGGTGCTCTCCTGGCTGGTCAGGCCGCCTGACGAGGAGTCGCCGCTGGATGTCCCGTCGTGGCTGAAGTGCGGCTCGAAAGACAGCAGCTGGTGTGGGGCAGCTGTGTACCTGCAGGGGAGCAAGAGGAGGCGGGCACAGGGTGAAGGGCTGGTGTGTCAAAAACCACCTGAGCCTGAGACTTGCTCGCTGCGGGTTTTAAATACCCGGGAGGCTCCTTGAGGCTGGGAGGCTGGATGAGTAAGCCTGGAAACGTGCTATTAACTGCAGGTCAGGAATGAGCTCTGTCCGGGAAGCATGCCAGGGAGCCGGTGGTGGCAGGGCGTGCAGGGCCAGGTGGGGTCTTCAAGGAAAGAGCGGGGGCAGAAGCCACTCAGGACCCTAGGCTCCTCGAGGTTCCCATTTCTTTTTCGGCTGTACCACACGGCACGTAGGATCTTAGATCCCTGACTAGGAGCTGCCTCCAGTACTGCAAGCACGGAGTCCTAATCACTGGACCGCCAGGGAAGTCCTCTGGGGTTCCGTTTCTTGGCTACGAAATAGGGTGAGCTGCTGTAAGCAGCCCCTACTCCTAGGCTGGTCTTGGGCTCCCTCTCTCTCTGACGGAAGAGAGCAGAACAAGGCAGCCATTTGTAGGTCCAGGAGGCCTGGAAGCAGGCTGCTTGGGGGATCAAACCTCTCCTCGGCCTCCTGCCCAGCCAGGTTCGGTCACTTCCTTGCCCCGACAGTTTCCCAAGCTGTCAAGAGGCAACTGCAGTAAGTCTTTCCTTGTAGGACTGAATGCATTCCTGTGTGCCCAGAACTTATAGCCTGAGACTGACACATGATACCACTGGCTGAGGGGCTGGAATTGAGTCTGTCTGTCTCTTTGCTGGAGGAAGGGGCTTCAGGGGAGAGGGTGAAGGCTCAGGAGTCAGCACGAGGCAGGTCTGGGCCCAACCCCAGCTCCACCCCTCACTAGCTGCGTGACATTGGCCGGGCAAGTGCTCATCAGTTTGGGCTGTGGTTTTACCACCTGAAAAATGACATTTTCTACTACGCAGGGTTGTGGAGGGATGAAATAACAAAGCTGTCTCCTAGAGGGAGATTCTCCTGGAGGCGGGCCCTGCAGACCCACAGGCAAGGCCTGAGGTTTAACAGAGGGACTGGCAAAGGTTCTCTGTGGCCTGGGGTCCCAGTGACATTCTATGTGAACCTGGAGCCTGTGGGCGCCTCCTCCACATCCATTCCACCTCAGATCAGAATCTGCCATGGCAGAAACTGTCTCTCTGACTGGGGTTGGTCAGGAAAGGCAGAGGACACGTGAGAGGGTTTGAGTTATTAAGACTCCCATGAAATACTTCTGGTTCTTCACCTGACAAACACACGGCAGGACCACTCTTCCAGCCCTTTGAGACTGGCTGGCTGGGGCTGTGTGACGATCAGTGTGTTGCGAGGGAGCCTGGGTCCTAACAGGTCCACTCAGTGGTGGACCTGCAGTGTGGGTGCAAAATAAACCCTTGTTGATTTGTTGTTATTTAGTTGCTCAGTCATATCTGACTCTGCAACCCTATGGACTGTAGCCCGCCAGTCTCTTCAGGCCATGGGATTTCCCAGGCAAGAATACTGGAGTAGGTTGCCATTTCCTTCTCCAGGGGATATTCCTGACCCAGGGATCAAACTCGTTAGCAGGCAGATTCTTTATCATGGAGTCACCTGGGAAACCTCTTCAGTGACTTAAGTCACTGCAATTTTCAGGTGTCTGTTAACCAGCATAACCTGACTGAAATAGGGGAAGTCTGCTGAGAGGTTGTGGGGGAAAGTCTTCTTGCTCCAAAGGGAGATGACAAGGAAAGATGGCTTCTCTTCCTCACCAGATGTTGCAGGGTCCAAATATGACACCACTTGCAGCTGTCGCCCTCTCCCAACAAGTCTGAGAACAAGGCCAATGCTGAGTGTGGAAGAGAGGGGGCAGGAAGAGCCACTGGGCCCTTGACAACGTTGTCAAGGTACTGGATTAACCTCTCTGGGAACTGCTCTGCCTCTGAACCTTTTCTGGGAGATAACAAATTCCTACAATGTTTGGTTACTTGCAGCCAGAAGCATTCCATGGACACGAGCCCTGGACTTTGGAGGAGTCACTGAGCCTCCATTAATCAAGCTGATACTGTTGATTCCTCACTTGTTTCCTATGCCTGCACTTGCAACTTGAGAGGATAATAAACTGGAATCCCTCCCCCAAAATCCAAAAGAAGAGTTAACTGACTTCTCTGGGGTCACCCTGCCAGTTCAAAGCCAGGGCTGTCTCTGCAAAGACCAACTCTAAGCTCCTGGCTTTCACATATACAGGCAGCAGAGATGCACTGGACTTTCTGAAATTTCATCTTTCCTCACCTGCCAGGAAAACACATTATTCCCACTTCTCCAGGCCCTGAACTCTAATGCCTCCAGGAAAAAAAGACAGGTGAATGGATAAAGAAGATGTGGTGTATATGATAAAGAAGATGTGATGTGTATATATGTGTGTGTGTGAAAGAAACCAAAATTGGGTTGTTTGTAGTGATGCAAGTGATTTAGAGTCTGTCATACAGAGTGAAGTGAGAAACAGAAAGACAATACCATAGATTAATGCACATACATGAAATCTAGACAAAGAATATTGATGCACCTGTTTACAGGGAAGGAATGGAGACACAGATGTAGAGAACGGATTTGTGGATATGGGGGTGGTGGGAGAAGAGGGTAGGACGAATTGAGAGAACAGTACTGAGATATGTACATTACCGTGCGCAAAACAGATAGCTAGTGGGAAGCTGCCTTATAGCACAGGGCGCTCAGCCTGGTGCTCTGTGATGACCCAGAGGTGGGGTTGGGGGTGGGGTGTGAGGGAGGCTCAAAAGGGAGGAGATAAAATGTACACATATGGCTGATGCAAGCTGTAGAACAGCAGAAACTAACACAACCTTATAAAGCAGTTATACTCTATTTAAAAAACAAAAAAGCATAGGGAGTCTTCACCTTACTGGCTGACTTAGCAGCCAGCCAACCTCCTGGTAAAATGTGACTCCAGTATTGCTGGAAGCTCAAGTGTTGATGGGTTTATTCCATTTTCTCAAAATGCCCGAATCAAATCCTGAGTGCTAAAGGAAAATGGCCGGCAGTTGCTAGGTTTGTAAAGAGGGAGGTCCGAGCGGCAGACACTGCAGGCACTTCCCTCAATGTCTATTCTCTGCTTCCACCGTGGTAAGTAAGTAAAGTTGCTCAGTCGTGTCCGACTCTATGCGACCACATGGACTGTAGCCCACCAGGCTCCTCTGTCCATGAGATGTTCCAGGGAAGAGTACTGGAGTGGATTGCCATTCCTTCTCCACCATGGTAGCAGAATCCAAGTTGCACTGGTGGCAGCAATGTGATGGGTTAACAAACTACATTTACCAGACTCCCATGCAGTTCTGGCCAATGAAATAAAAGCACCGCATGCGACTCCCAGACAGTTTCTGCCAGCATTGTGTGGGATCCTAGTCCCCCAATCAGGGATTGAACCTAGGCCCTGGCAGTGAAAGAACAGAGTCCTAACCTCTGGATTACTGGGGAATTCCTCGATGGACTATCTTTAGCTGAACAAATGTTTCCAGCTTCATCTCTCAGCTAACTGTCCTCTATCAAGAAAACCTGTACTTTGTTCACTCATGTAATTCTTTCACTAAAGAGCCTTCTTCCCATCCCAATGCAAACTGACTGGCCTACACTGACCATTCTTTAGATGCTGAATATGTACCATTTGGGGCCATCTGTATCGCTGCCAAATCCTGGTCAAGCTGATGAAACTAGGACATTCCAGCATCTCACCATGCACAGCTCTGGGCAAAACTCCCCAGATGCAGGCCTGGGCTGCCAGGATCTTTGCTTTGAACTTCCTAGTCTGCCACGTAGGAAAGTACCAAGACAGATGTGGAGTCCTGAGGGCAGGGCTCCAGTGTGCTCTGTCAGTCTCCTACACTGATGGGTGGAGCCGGGGATGGGAGCATTATAGGATGGCTGGGTAAAGGGTGGACACACAATGCAGCCACTGTTGGCTGCCACTCCAAGAGGCACCACCTTCTCAGTCCCTGCTGGTGGAGTCCGGATGCTGCTGTGGCAGCCAACCCTCGACCACATGACTTCAGCAAATTCTGAGGGTTTGAGCTCCCCTGGTGGCTCAAAAGGTAAAAAAAAATCTGTCTGCAATGCGGGGAAACCTGGGTTCAGTTCCTGGGTGAGGAAGATCCTCTGGAGGAGGACGTGTCAACTCACTCTAGTATTCTTGCCTGGACAATCCCCATGGCCAGAGGAGCCTGGTGTGGCTACAGTTCACAGGGTCACAAAGAGTTGGACATGACTGAATGACTAAGCACACAAGACAATCCTGGGGGTCCCATGTGACCTCTCCAGGGGTTAGTTCAGGGGTGAGCAAGTGACCGAGTTCCTTCATCCTTAGAGAACAGCTCTTCCCTCTTCTCCTATGGGGCACCGGTTCTGCCTGGGGCCACAGCAGTCCTTGTGGGTCATGAGTGGAGTCAGGTCCCTGAGGAAGAACCTACACAACTGACCAGCTCAAGAGCCACCTGCCTCTGGAATTATTATGTGATGATGATAAATCCCCTTAATGCTCATGCCTTCTTGAGTTAAGTTTTCTGTCTAAAGTCAAATGTTTCGACTTCCCTGGTGGTCCAGTGGATAACAATCTGCTTGCCAATGCAGGGGACACAGTTTCTATCCCTGGTCCGGGAACTAAGATCCCATATGCCGTGGGGCAACTAAGCTCGTGGCTTGCAATGACTTAGTCCACATACAGCAACGAAGAACCTGTGCAGCATAATGAAGACCCAGAGTAGCAACCCCCCCCCTTCAACGCAAAATGTCAAATGCTTCCTAACTGAAGGACCACTCTTTATGGAACCAGCAGAGGAAAACAAAGGTGGAAAAAAAAAGAGAGGTAGCCTGATAAGCAAACGTCTGGGGTCCAGGCCAGCCCTGCAGGGTGCTGAGCCGGGCACACAATTCTGTCCTAGCTCTGGGCTGAGTCTGGACGTCTGCTCATCTTGCACACGAGAGTGGCAAACTCCTGAGGATGAGGATGGCATCTGCAGTTG